TTTGGATGGAAATTGTTAATTTGGAATTTAAACAAAGTTCAAAAAAAATCCAATTTTAAAATAGATCCAGAATAAACATGTAGGTATTCCCGGAACTAAAAAACATTTCTCTTTTTATTAGTTATGTTTGAGGCTTTACAAATAAATTCCCTTTGATTTTTTATTCACACAGTGAATTTTTATTTCCCCAAAAAATAAAGATTTACTGTTTTGCAATACTGTAATAATTGTAAAATTCATCACCATATTTGTGAAGATATTAGACCCACCATGGGTGTATTTTTAGGTGAGGCGTTTGTTTTCTCTTGAATATCGGCAAAAAAATTTTAAATTTCTGTACTTTGAGTCAGTTTCAAGCCATTTCCAGTGCTAAAAAAAAATCAAAATCTCTCTATTTCTGTAATATGTCTCCCATTCTATCAAATGAGACAAAGAAATCGCAAATACAACTATAAAAAGCATACGAAAAAACACTGCAAAGTTGCTGTTTTAATCGAAAAATCACGATTTCAGTTTTTTTTCTCTCATTATACACAGTGTGCTGCAGGATCTGTTTTATGTAGTGCACACATACCACATAGATGTATTCTCTCATATCTAGGCCCAAATGTACCACTCACAGTTTATCAGAGTGAGCTGAGCTCATGACGTAGATCTACGGTTTGGACCCTGAACGTAAAGCCGTAGATCTACGGGACGGACCCTGAAAGGGTTAAATCACTTAAGACCACCAATAACCCAGCAAAAGGCAGGGGTCAGAATGATGACAAATTCCCACTCCCGACAGCATACTCCACCAATATTCAAAAAGTCTAAATCTGCTCACCATTAAGAACATCTATACTTATTCATGTGCCTACTACATACATAGAACAATACATGCAGACATAAACCCTCCACTCAAACTTTTTCTCACCAATCTTAACAGGACACACGACCATAACACAAGACACAGATCTCTTTTTGATGTACCCTATGTCCATATCACACTGTGTAAAAACTATGCACATAATGGGCCCCAAAATTTGGAATTCATTACCAGAAAATACCAAAGTAATCCGATCTGAAAATCAATTTAAGACTTTTCTCAAAAGCCACTTAATTACCCTAGACTAAATACCCAATACTCAATATTTAACATTACAAATAAATCTATCAACTATCTAAATCTTAAAACTTCATGACTAGACAACCAAGCTCATAAATTGACAAATTACCACATAGAAGTATACATACCTACCAAAACCAGTATTGCCCTTCACCAAATTGTAGCACTCTCGTACTGTAAACTACTGAAAACTACTCTTGAATCATGTTTCATAAAAATCATTTTTGAATACATGAATATATCCTTTGGTTTGCATAAATTAAATTCACTTATAATTAACAGAACTACTGTACAACTATGATAATTTCCTTAGTGATAAGTAGTCAGTAAGCCATTAAATTAAGTCAGCCCATAATGCCTAGGCATAATAGAGGTTCTCTTTGCACTGCAACCCATCATTGTAAAAATATAATCTCAATGTACTACTTGCAAAGAAAGTAATAAATTTGAATTTGAATTTGAATGGTGTTGTCCATGCCATAAGCTCATGTTACATGAGCAAGATAAGGCTTAATCTCACTTGTATTGCCATTAATAACAACTGCAGTCCTAGGGCAGACACAAGGTGATTAGGGATGTCTTATTCGAGGTTAAAATTAGAGGGCTTTAAGCCCAAACCAAGTGAGCACTACTACACATTTCAGATGATAGTGAAATGCTGGATATATGCTCCTTTGGGGCAAATTGGTTTCTAGCCCACTGTGCTGGTTTATTTTAAGATACTGGTCCTCCGAGATGAGAGAACTCCTCTAGCTTGACTTCAAAGCTGGTGTTTCTTAGTTCAGTAGGGCCCCACTTATACGGCAGGTTAGGTTCCAGGCTGTCGCCGGAAAGCAGACATCGCCGGAAGGCAGAACGCCATTTTTTCCATATATAAATGCATATAAATGCCAGACAACAAGTTTACACTAAATTATATTAAGGTAGTAATAGAACTAGGCATTAAAAACACACAAAGCAAAATACATTCACAGTACATTCATTACTTATCTTAAAGTATTTGTAATCTTAATGTAGGGAGAGAGGTGAATAGTACTTATTTGTAGGAAGTCAGGTGCAGGTAGCCCAGGTGTAGGTAGCCCTGGCTCCCCATCTCATACTTAATATATGATATTTAAAATACACATACAGTACACTCACTATTTACCTTAAAATATGTGTAGTCTTAATATAGGAAGAGAGGTGAGTAGTATTTATTTGTAGGAAGTCAGTGTAGGTAGCCAGTAGGTGTAACCCGCCTGGGCTACACCTACTAGCTACCTACACTGTGGCCCAGAGCCATATTATTAGCATTGACATACCTTGTGCACTGAACTTAATCGTTTCTAACAATTACCTTTAGATGCCATCATAAACGAAGGGAGAAGTAATGAATAATTCACGCCGAAAATTGTAAACAAAAGCGGAGTGGGGGAGTGGCTGGGCCAAACGCAGATTCATACACATTTTCTCTGATGGCTGAGCAGAGAAAACGTAATGTTGTCCCTCCGCCCGGCTACCACACAGCTCCACAAGTATTATTATCAGAGCACATATAAAATATGCAACCAGACAAGAAGTTTACACTAACTTATATTAAGTTAGCAATAGAAATAGGCATTAAAAACACAATAAAAGGTAAGATACACACAGGATACACTTATTACTTACCTTACAATATTAATATTAATGTGTGAGAGGTGAGTGGCAGGGTGTTTATTGAATAAAATCAGAATGGCACACCATCATCCTCTAACTTGGCACTTAAAGCAAGAGTCTTACGACTCCTCTTTTTATCACAGCTAAGCTTAGACGCCATCGTCAATGAGAGCGAACTAGTTAATGAAAGAGTAAACGAGAGAGAGAATGAGATACAGAGTTCAGACAATGTAAGAACACAAACTGAACAGGTAGTGGGTGATCACTAGGTCAGGTGAAATAAATGCGTATTAACATGTGTCTACTTTTAGCTCATTCACATACGTTTGTAAGAGTTTGTAAAACATTTACCTCAATATATTTTTATTATAATAATTACCTCACAATACAAATACTCTTACATTGTGTACACACTGTACAAGTTAGTACAGAATAAACAAACAGCAACACACCATTTTTAGAGTGAATGAAGATATCATTATTATTATTATTATTATTATTATTATTATTATCATAATAAAAAGCACTAAACCCACAAGGGTCGTGAACTGCTATATATAGAGTGAAGGCATACGAAAAGAATATTTTTCTACAGTTACCCCCCAGTTTGACTAGAGAAAACGTAATTCTTCCGGCACTAACTACACAGCCGCTTTGTAAACAAATCTCATATTTACGTCAATTTTTATTCTGTGAGTGTATGTATCATGTTTATATGCTATGTAACAGGTTTCATATATAATTTTGAGAAAAATATCATAGATGGATTAATGAAAATGCCTATATCAATGTAAAATAAGACATTTAATGTGTCCAAGAGTGATTATTATTACGTAGTATTGGCGTCATGAGTAGAGAGACTTAGCAATTTTAATGTGTACCTGTACACCAGCACAGTGTGTAAGTATATTTAGGTAGAAGTACACATAAGTATAATTATCAGAGTACATATAAAATATGCAGTAACTTTAAAACAGTCACATATGCAACAGTTAGACAACTTTATTCCGAAACGTTTCGCCTACACAGTAGGCTTCTTCAGTCAAATACAGAAAGTAGGCAGGAACAGTAGAGATGTGAAGACGATGTAATCAGTCCATCACCCTTAAAGTCATAGAATTTGAGGTTATCAGTCCCTCAGCCTGGAGAAGCTCAGTTCCATAGTCAGGAACTATCCAGGCTGAGGGACTGATAACCTCAAATTCTACGACTTTAAGGGTGATGGACTGATTACATCGTCTTCACATCTCTACTGTTCCTGCCTACTTTCTGTATTTGACTGAAGAAGCCTACTGTGTAGGCAAAACATTTCGGAATAAAGTTGTCTAACTGTTGCATATGTGTCTTACCTAACAACCTGTCGGTACTGCATACCATTTTGATGTTCATCTTGTCAGACACTGCAACACATGGCATCTTGGTACAGAAAATACCTTGGACAACCTTTTCAAGTGAGAAGTGTTGGATCTGAGAGGGACATGACCTCTCAGTGGCTACATTCTCACTACTGCTACTACTCTGCACCCCTCCTTCCGACAGTATTTAAGTTTCCACACTGTCGCTTGATCTTCAGATAGTTCCTGACTATGGAACTGAACTTCTCCAGGCTGAGGGACTGATAACCTCAAATTCTACGACTTTAAGGGTGATGGACTGATTACTCGTATACCATTTTGATTTTCAACTTTAAAACATTTTGGAAAGTTTCCTGACATAATAGAAGAATGTAAACAAACCAGATGGGGCACGCCATATTTGAAAGACCGCTTGCCATATAGCAAATTTTGGTCATAATTTGACATCACTGCATTAGCAGAACACCATAAGGCGAAACGCAGTAAAGCGGGACCCTACTGTATAAATTTAGAAGTGTTTAATGCTGTTTATGTCCTAATTTGCCATTTTTATTGAACAAATGAGATATTAATATCCATATGATAATTTGTAAATACTGTACCAAATTTGAGTCTCAACAAATCTTCAACGCTAATGCTTAACTCCATTATAAACTTAAGCCACACTCTCCACTAGTCTTTTCCCTTGCACCGACACACAGGGACCTTAGATTATGCAATACAAGGATACCTTTCAAGGATCGTGTAGCGACCAAAATACATATAGTTATTATTAAGTTTCACAATGCATGACTAAGATGCACATCAACATACCAGTCCACAAACAGAATCTACTGTAAACTTGTTCCACTTTGGCTACTTGTGTGTTTAGAACCTCTAGACTGTAAAATAGAACTTACCTTAATGCACTTCTCAAGGAGAGACAAGCCAACCAGAGTTCACGAGCAGCATAAGCAGCTTTATCAACATCAGCACGTGCCGACAGAGCATTCTGAAACATTAAAACAGTTTAAAAACTGTAGTGTAAAGCACCCTTCTGGCAAGACAGTGATGGAGTGAATGATGGTGAAAGTTTTTCTTTTTCGGGCCACCCTGCCTTGGTGGGAATTGGCCAGTGTGATAATATAAAAAAAAAAAAAAAAAATAAAACACAATACTCATAACATGTTTCCTGAAGCTTCTACATGAAGTTACTACAATGAAGGAAAAATGGCACCAAGAACAATTATCATATTTTTCCTCCAACAAGACAACAGTACAGATTAAGTTCGAGTTTCAAACTTAACCCTTTGACTGTCACAACCCCAAATCCTGAAGTGCTCCTGGTGTCAAAATTTTTTTTGAAAAAATAAAAAAAACAAAAAATTATTTTTTCCTATGAAATGATAATCTTTTCCCGATGGTAATGACACCAAAAGTACAAAATTTGATCAAAAACTTGTGGAATTTCACTCCCGCAAAGTTAGTGATCTCAGCAATATAAACGCATCAGCGATTTTGCTGACTCTGAGCCCTATTTTCAGCCAATTTCATTGTTCCAGTCGACCAAACTCATAGCTATTTCCTTAGAACTCCATTTTGTCTATCAATTGAGTACAAGAAACCACCCATTTACCAATTTCAACTACCCAATAGAGTGGTCAGAAATTGGCAATTTGGCCAATTTCACACAAATTAAAAAAGATGCCAATTTTAAAATAGGGTCCAGAATAAACAATGCAAACATTCTTGGCACTAAAATCACATATCCTCTGTTCATTAGTCACTTCTCCAAGCCCCTCTTATATTACTCTTGCTTTCTATTTTTATTTTTTATTAACACAAAAAATAGATGATTTACTGTTATGAAGATTACTACATTATTGTAAAAATAGTATAAATAATATCAGTGCACTAGTGAAAGATTATTAGACTCCCAGTTGACATGTATTGGACGTGTGGTGAGATTTGCTTACTCTTGAACATTGGTAAAAATCGAACATTTCTGCTACTTTGAACTCAATTTCAAGGTCATTTTCATCATGAAGCTAATCAAAATCATCTCTATTTCCATAATGTATTTCCCATTCTATCGAATGAGACCAAGAAAATGAGAATACAGCCATAAATACAATAAGAAAATACACCTCAAAGTCGGCATTTTAATGAAAAATATGGTCAGAGTTTTTTCCTCTCATTATGCACTGCGTGCTGCAGGATTTTTTTTATACAGTGCACACTGACCACACAGACGCATTCTTTCAGATGTGGGCCTCCCAGCTTTCTCCTGTTTGATTTGAAGCCACTAGAATTATTGGGTATACATACCACCGAAACACTGGCTCCTAAGACATATACATACGGCCAAAACAGCCAAAGGGTTAATCCGTTCCAGGAGCTAGTTCTAAAGTCGAAGTGTTCAAAATTCAAATCAATATTTCCCATAAGAAATAATGTAAATACAATTAATCTGTTCCAGAAACCCAAAATTATTCACAAAAAAATACATTTTTATAGAGATTATTATTCTTAAAGATTCGCCGGTATTCTCCCGGCCCGGGCCTTTTCCAAGTGGTGGCCCGGCCTTGGCTCCCTAAACCATACCCCCGGGGGTATGGTTTATTTGCAATCGTGTCATTACGATTTCTTAAGTCAAGTCTTGGCTCCCTCTTTAGGGAGTGTCTGAGACCTAAGTCTCCCATGGGAAGAGGCACAAGTACCTCCTCATCTTTGGGACCAACTGTCCCCAGGCCTAGCCACAAGCTAGGCCTCTGTGGTCTGCCATCCCCGCCCCAAGGGGGCTAATGGGAATGACAGTCTTATGAGCTAAAGGCTCGGGCTCAGGCACCTACCCTACCCTAGAAGGGTTAGGCATGGTATCGATCTTTATAGAGATTAATTATAGTTTTACATACACAATGCATACATACATAGTACAATTAGTAATAAATAAACATTTAAATAAACATATATATCATTCCACTTTGCACATATCTCCTTAATCTTTGAAAAAGGCACCTCATCCACTCCCTCTTCCTCCTCCTCCTCCTCTGAAGCAAATTCCTGAGCTGTGGTCTGATACTGTTCCAGATGAAACTCTTCCAGCTGTTCAGTGGTTAGCTCTTCCCTGTGGTCCTCCACCAACTCTTCCACATCCTTGCCACTCACCTCCAACCCCATGGACTTGCCCAATGCCACAATACCTTCCACAACAGGCAGAGGGTTGACAGGGTCAGGGTCAGCCTCAAACCCTTCAAAATCCCTCCAAGCAGAGTTCAAAGTCCTGGAAGTCACTCCCTCCCATGCCTTACTTATGAGGCTTATGCAGATGTAGATATTAAAGTGATTCCTCCAGAACTCTCTTAAGGTCAACTTAGTGTCTGTGGTCACTTCAAAGCACTTTTCAAACACTGCTTTTGTGTAGAGTTTTTTGAAGTTAGAAATGACCTGCTAGTCCATGGGCTGGAGGAGAGGAGTGGTGTTAGGAGGCAAGAACTTCACTGTGATAAAACTGTAGTCCCCAGACAGTAGGTCTACCAAGTTTGGAGGATGTGCAGGAGCACTGTCCATTAACAGGAGGCACTTGAGTGGCAAATTATTTTCTAAGAGGTATTTTTTCACACTGGGGCCAAACACTTCATGGACCCACTCTTTAAAAATTTGCCTCCTTATTATTTGCTTTCCACAAGACACATAGCTTGTCCTTAATGACATTGTTTTTCTTAAACACTCGGGGATTTTCTGAGTGATACACTAGTAAAGGCTTCACTTTAACCCCTAAATGGTTGGTCCAAATGTGTATATATATGTTCTCTCGCCCAGTGCCCCGAATATTTTGAAAAATAAAAAAATTGTTTTTTTTATAGAAATAAAGAGAATATTTTTCTAAGTGTTATAGGATTAAAATAAAAAAAAATTAGGGTCAATATGACAGCAGGCAACATCGAGTCCCTGCTGCTTGTAGAAATTTTGCCGACATATCTGAAAAGGTGTTGTGCAAATGTTGCACATGGGTTATTACTGTATTGAGGTTTTTTGATATTTCCTCGACAACCTGTGGCCATATACACCTCAAAGCCACTAAACTCAGGGTCAAAATCACTTTCCTCTTAAAATGGGTGTGTTAATACTACATGACATCAGTGAATCCCAGGTGTTTGCTGCGCTGTTTGCTCTAGCTGGCGCTCATTTGAACTGGTGTTCCCACAAGGTACTAAGTGGTCCCAGATTTTTTTAATACCACACACACTGAGTGTTAGAACCCATTCAATGCTGACAAGGCATCTCAGGCCAACTCTGCCAAATTTGAAGACAGGAAAAATAAAACATATACAGTGGACCCCCGGTTATCGTCCGGTTCTGTTATCGGCCAACTCGGTGATTAGCTGGTTTTTCAGCGCCCTCAAATCTAGTGAGAGAAAGCTGGTAAGCCTACATATGAAAGAATGGGTCTATGTGGCAGTGTGCGCAGTATAAAAAAAATCCTGCAGCACACAGTGGGTAATGAGAAAAAAAAAACTGTGACCATGTTTTTTGATTAAAACAGCAACTTTGCACTGTATTTTTGTATTCTAGTTTTCCTGGTCTCATTTTATAGAATGGAAAACATATTACAGAAATTGAGACGATTTTGATTGGTTTTACAATGAAAAGTACCTTGAAATTGAGCTCAAAGTAGCAGAAATGTTCGATTTTTACCAAAGTTCAAAAGTAAACAAATCATGCTACGCGTCCAATACACGTCAACTGGTGAGTTTAATATTCTTTCACAAGTTCACTGATATTATTTATACCATTTCTACACTAATGCAGTGGTCTGCATAACAGTAAATCTTCTATTTTTTGTGAGAATAAAAATTCAAAGTGGAAAGCAAAAGAATGTAAAAGGGGCATGGGGACGTGACTAATGAACAGGGTGCTGCGCTAGAGAACATATATACGTTTGGACCGTTTGACCATTAAACTGTCCACACACAGATATACGTTCATGTGCGGCACGCTCCAAACGTAGATCAACGTTTTATTCTTCATTCCTTCAAATTTGGTACGATAGGCCTGAGTCACCTAGACGTGAAAGAATGGGTCTGTGCACTCAGTGTGCACACTATGAAAAACATCTGGGAGGACTTGGTACTTTGTGGGAGCACCAGTTCAACTGAGTACCAGCTAGAGCAAATATCGTGGCAAACACCAAGGATTCACTGATGTCATGTCATATTAACACTCACATTTTAAGGGGAAAGTAAAAATAGGTTAGATAAATGCATAAGTGAGTGTGGGTGGGTGTGAGTTGGACCTGACTAGCTTGTGCTACTAGGTTAGATGTCATGCTCTTTCTTTCAGTGGATGTGACCTGACTAGGTGGGTCATTGGTTTAAGCCAGGGGGTAACATGGATCTGCTTTGCATGGGCAAGAAGGCCTGCTGCAGTGTTCCTTCTTTTTTTATGTTCTTATGTATTAGGCTGGATAGCTGGCTGGCTTTGGATGTCTGTCTGTATCTGTCTATATATCTCTCTATATATAAGATAAGATAAGATAAGATTTCATTCGGATTTTTAACCCCGGAGGGTTAGCCACCCAGGATAACCCAAGAAAGTCAGTGCGTCATTGAGGACTGTCTAACTTATTTCCATTGGGGTCCTTAATCTTGTCCCCCAGGATGCGACCCACACCAGTCGACTAACACCCAGGTACCTATTTGCTGCTAGGTGAACAGGACAACAGGTGTAAGGAAACGTGTCGAAATGTTTCCACCAGCCGGGAATCGAACCCGGGCCCTCCGTGTGTGAAGCAGGAGCTTTAGCCACCAGGCCACCGGGCCCCTATATATCTGTCTATGTCTCTGTCTATCTATGTCTCTGTCTCTGTCTCTCACATGTACTCATAAATACAATTATACATAATGTAAATTACCTAGGATAACCCAAAAATTCCAAGCCAAGTGCTATACAGTGTTTGTAGATATAAGACATAAACAGATATAACACAAATAATAGCAGTGTCACTTGCTC